CTGGCGCTGTTTGGTCGCTGGCAGACAGAGGAGTATCAGCCTCCTATAGCAGTGGATGGAAAGGTAGGTAGGAAGGCAGAGGGACGGTGCTAAAGGGAGTGTTTGTGGAGCTGTGGGCCTTATTTTTCCAGACGTTGTGTGTTTAAGAGGTGAGATCAATCAATAACATCTGGATTCAGAATAAAGACTTCTAAGCGACTGTACCCAGGAGGAAATGGTCAAAACTTCACTGGGGCCTTTCCTGAGTACAAGTCATGAGTGTAGACTGCTAGCTTTATAATTGCATTAGTCTAATTTGCCTACCCCATGTTTGTTTTGCTGATTCTCTGCATTGCAGCCCTAGTAACAAGGCCTGGGCAGAGAACATAGCTAGGAGATAACCATGCAGCTACAGTCTAGGCTTGTGCCTTCTCGTGTGAATATTTATCAAATACTAGAGTGGAATGTAGCAGGTCAGAAGGAAGGGAGAGTCCCTGAGTTGCAGCAGGAATTTTCACCTCTCTCCAGAGAGCAGGAGTATCACCATTTCTCTTTAATTTTGCCATAACAGGTTCCTCGGAATGAATATGGAAATGTCTATCTCTTCCTGCCGTCCATGTTACCCGTTGGCTGTGTGCAGCTGAGGCTCCCAAACCTGAACAGATTGGCGCGCAAGTTGGACATTGACTGTGCTCAAGCCATCACTGGATTTGATTTTCATGGTGGCTACTCACACCCAGTGTATGTAAAGCTGCTTTGTTGCAGCTGATAGATGTTGATGTCCTGCAGAAGCTGGATGCCCTGTGTTATGGAGTACTTGCCCTCCTCTCCTGTGCTATTGGTGGCAGTGGAGTCAGTGGCCCTGGCGTGCAGAAGTGACTTTATATGCTTTAAGAGCTGGCACTTGTGTGGGGAGGAACAGGCAGTGGGTGACACACTTGGATCCTGTGCGACAGACAGATGTTCTGCCAGTTCTCAGTAGTTTGCTCTTGCTTTGGCTGGGTCAGCACTTGCTGCCTTTCTTTTTCCTTCTCGTATCTGACAGAGGATTGTGTTCTCCTTCCTAGTACCGATGGCTACGTTGTGTGTGAGGAGTACAAAGAGGTCCTCATTGCTGCCTGGGAGAACGAACAAGCAGAAATAGAAAAGAAGGAGAAGGAGGTGGGAATTGTTTTTGCAGATTCCTTATACTTACATTTATTGTGTCAATTTCATTGAAACTGTGGGCAGTCTGGTGTATAAGCACCAGACACCACGCTCTGTGACCCTGAGGGGCTAATTGCATCCTCCAAACACCCCCTTTGGGGCTCCCTGTCTGGACTGCAGTGGGGTGTGATACAGGGGTGTAGCGAGATCTGAAGTAGTGCAGACTCTGGAATAGTTTGCCATGGCTGCTGGGAAACAAAAATGAGGAATACACACAGGGGGTTAAAGTATTAGAGGTGGCTCTGGCGTAATTTACACTGTCAGGCTGCACATTAGAAAGTGACACTAATTCATGTATTTAGCAGATAATTAGACACCAATACGTTTTATTCTTAAGAACCCTACTGGCCTAATATCTTTTAATGTGACGTTTTAAGTTGGCTTGGATTTTTTTTAGTGGCACTTTAGAGTCTTCAAACTTCTGTTTTCTGTGGGCATAAATACATCGAAACTTACAATAATAAATTTTCTCTTTTCAATAACAACCGCACACAGAAACGTGAGAAAAGAGCTCTGGGGAATTGGAAGCTGCTGACAAAAGGACTTCTCATCAGAGAGAGACTGAAGCAACGCTACTCCATCAAGGTATTCTGCATTTCCATTAGTCATTTCTTCTCCAGGATGATAATTCTTTACCAAGATACCTTTTTTCCAGAATTTCCAATGTGTTGTGTTTCCAGCTGCAGGATGTAGAACTTCCAGAGTGAAGGTGCTCAAAAATCTTTTTCTTTCCTGTTGTCAGTGTGTTACCAGCAACTAAAAAAAAAAACCTACCTCAGAAATTCAATCAGTCATGTCCATGAAAGATTCATTATTGTTTAACAAGAGATTAGTGTTTCCCAAAGCACCATTTTTTCAGTATTATTTTCTGTTTTGACACACCCTCTTCCTAGATTTATTCCTCCAAGCTAAACAAGTAGAAGACAGGATGAAAGGGCGCTGATTTTTAGTTACGAAGTCAGATGTTTTAGTTCTTTTCCCCATTGAGAAAGGTGAAAAGCATGATCTTTTTAAAGCAGGTTTATTTTTATTCTTCCACGGCCAAAAATCTTTTTGCTTGTATTGAAAGAGCGCTTGACATCCAGGAATAGAAACACACTGCTTTGGGTGAGATCCCCAAACCAGAACAGCCAATTTATGTGATGTCATTAAGTGTCACTGTGATGGAAGACAAGCCCTTTTAGTGAGGGTGATTTCTAGAACAAGTTTTGAATTTCCATGCCTGCTTTTTTCCAGACTGAGCCAGCAGCACCTGATGCAGAGAAAGGAGCGGGATTCTCTTCTGATGAAGAAGGGGGTCCAAGTTCAGAGACTGCAGTAGGGAACACGGACATTTCTTGGCCCCAAAATCGCCAGTTAGAGAAAAAAAAAGAAGAGGAGACAACCAGAAAGAGCAAGCGGGAGAAGAAAGGAGAAGCAGCACAGTTGTTCCCTTTTGAGAAGCTGTGATCAGAACGAGCGTTTCTTTGCCTTTTTCAGATGCAAGAACAATAGTCATAACAAAAGTAGCCTTTGCCAGTTAAGGACTTAGTCTTCATGTGCACTTGTGTTTCTGAGCTGACAGGGACCAGCCTCATTCAGGATCAAGAGATTCTTTTGCTGTCGCAGATCATGATGTTCATCCTTTTATCCTTGGACTTAGGAGAAGCAGATGTGCAGTAGTACCTTCTGAGAAGATCACTTTGTGCTGTTGGGGTTTTTTGCTCTTTTTTTGTATCACTCAGCACTAATAATTCTGTTTTTTGAGGCATTCCTTTCACCAGCACTGTCTTTTCCCATTTTTTTCCTGCTTGCTCAGAACCAAAGGAGCTGCTTTTTGTCAGTCTGTGGTGGGCTGGCCAAAGGACCACCAACACCTTTGATTCATACCTTAACCAAATCAGTGGTGAGGCAGAGTTCTGGTCTTACTGTCCATCATCACAGAAGGGGAAATACCTCCTCTCAGGGGTAAAGCAGCACGTAATCAAGCTTTGGATGAATCTGAAAATTTAATTTCTAAAGAATCTCTGCCTTTTGTGAAAGTTCAATTTTGGCTTTCCAGCCGACCGTTTTCCGTTACTTTCAGAAATCTTGTGCATTAAAAGGGAGAAGCTCTGTCCTCATTTCAAACTTAAAGGTGTCTTCTTCAGTAATTGGAATATATACATACTCGTTTTGGTTTTATCAGGACGATTTGGGTATGTTCTGGAGCAAAACCTGTGAAACTGGGTGCCTGTTGTCATCAGAAATTAAATTCACTGCAACCACAAAGCTCTTGTAAATGTTACCCAGCACCAAAGCATTAAAAGCTGTTGAGAGGAATGTGAAATCTACACAAGCTTTTCCTGCAGTTTTGTAGTAGAAACGCTGATCCGTCTTTCGCAGTATTTTTATCACTAAATCACACTGACACTGTCTCTTCAAAAATAGAGAGGAGTCATTGCTGGACATTGTCACAGAGGAAAGATTGAAATGCAAGAAAATGGCATTTTCTTGCCATTGGTTTAATGGTTTAATTATGTTCAGAAAGAACTCTATTTTTGTACTGTATTTGTAGAATAAAAATAAGTAATTGAAAAAGAGTATGTTGTCCTTTCCACCTCCCCTCTGGCCAGTGCTTGCTTCTCTAAGCAGCTGTGTCCCTGGAAGGACTCCCACACAAGGATAAGAACGCACCCTGGTGTTTCCAGAAGCCACAAATGGGGTCCCAGGATATCCCAGAACTGGCTGCTTGGGAATTGTTTTAATGTTAATGGTCTACATGCTGAGATTTTTAGGTTTTGCTACTGAATTCTAAATAAATATATAAATAAAAGCACCCCAGGTTGAGGTTGGGGAGCAGAGGTGACCTGTAGGCAGGATGCACCCCGAGGTGTAGTTGGAATGCGAGGGCCCACAAATTCAGGAATTTTTTGTCTGCTTAAAATGGGAGCTGGTACCAGCTCTGCCAAAGCACCCCTGCACTTCCTCATTTGGGACACTGGGCACAGAGACACTGAATTACGAGTCTAGTGACTAATTACAGTCAGCGGGGAAAGGGACAGTGACACCTTCAGAGGGAGGGATCCTACACAGCCCCACAGGGAGCCAGCTCTCCTAACTTCAGAGCAAAGAAAGAGTAAATGTGCTTTAGGGGGGACCAAAGCAGAGAGGGAAGATGATAACAGGTGAGGTACATGTTCTGTCAGGTCTTAGTAAGGAAGCAAGAGAAATACGGCTTCAGTTATTCCTATAGGAACATGGTTTGTGTATGTGCAAGGAACACGAGCCTTGGCTCCACCAGCACGGCCCTCCTGGGGAAGAGGAACATCTTTCCAGCACAGGAATCTGTCATTATTTCCCATTATTCCCGTGCACACACTGGTATGTGAGACAAAGGCATTTTAAGCTGTTGAAGGCATAGGTAACCCCCTGCTCTCTTTAAAAATACAAGATGCTTTATCCAGTCAGGGTGACAGCATTAGGTTGATGGTTGGACCACATGATCCAAAAGGTCCCTTCCACCCTGGGCAATTCTATGTTTTTCAAATAGTCACAGAGGCAAGGAAGTTCCTGTAACTGCAGTAATCAGTAAAGGGGAGAAAAGCCCCAGTGGGCTGGAATGAGCCTGCCATCACACAGAAGCACAACGCCCAGAGGGCGGCTACGCTCTTATTAGGAATTCACTTCCCAAAATGGGGAGATAGTTGCAGGATGAACAAAAACCCACCTGCACGTCTATCTCAACCAGCAACAGAAAACTAGCTCATGGGGAAGCTACAAAGTAATCCTCTGTGTTCCTGGGAGTGAAAGGTGCAAGGCATACACATCACAAAAAAGAAGCCAACAGACCAACGTTGTGAAAATTGCACTTTATTAAATATACAAAAGCTCAGCACTTCTGTAGAAAATTGTATCTTCATCTCCAATATGGTAACGTGGGTTTGTTTCCTGCATCACTGGTAAAACAGCAGCCCCACAGCTGGTTTTCTCCCCAGAGGAGCACGATTCTTAACGGAATGAGCCAAGCTGGTGCTAGGGAGCAGCAGGGAGCCTGGGCAGAATCCCCGAGACCCCTCACCCTTCCTATAGCCCCTCAGTCACCACCTCTGCTTCTACCAAGGAACCGCACCACAAGACTGAACTGACAACCAACTGACAATCAACAATTCCAATACCGGAAGAATGAAAAGAATTAAGGCTAATCAAGTAATTACTACTTCTCAAAACACTTGCGATTCCTAACTCAGATCTCTATTTCAATACTATTTGTAGCAAACATTTGCTTCTACGTATGTTCAAGTTAGGTTCCTTTGGTATGGAGACAGTTGTAACTGGATTTCATAAATTAAGCCATTATTTTTGTACCGAATTGTGTAAACTTACAGAAAAAAAACCCACTATAGCGTAGGGAGGGCACATTTGGAAGCCAGACCCTCACTGTGTGGAGAGAGACTTAACAACAGTACAAGACAGTCTCATCTCAAGTACTTGGTACAGCAGAAATACGTAAACATGAGCCATCACGATACTACAAGGCAGCATTTCTCTAATGTGATATAAAGCTCAAAATTCAGGCTACTAAAGTCTATGAAATCTAATCAGGCAAATACGTTCTCATTACTTAATTTCATGGAGTATGTTCATTGTCCCTACTAAGTGAAATTCAAGAAAGAAACAGTACACACAGCAAAAAAAACCCAAAAAACAAATATTTGAAGAATATACATTCAATTATAAAAGTTAATTTCGTTTCAAGGCAGCAGTTTTTATTTTTCAATGTTTGTGACCTCTGAGTTTCGCCTTAAATAAGTGCAATTTGAAGGTACATTTTGGAAACAGTTATGCAATGGTATAGTCCACGCTACCATTTCGGATGCTTAACCAAGAACAACTTCAGAGACTTCTAAAAAGTTGGGGGAAATCAATGCTTTCTGTCAAACCCACCCTATCTCAGAGCACTGCTAACCTGGCTACTCAGTATTTCAAGTTACTTTGAAAATCCTCAGTCCAAAAGCATATATTTTATATAAATACTGTGTAAAATGTGACAAAATTGTGTTTTTCCTTTGAACACCTACATTTCCAAATGCATCAGCCAAAGAAGTGTACATGATACATGACTGTGCATAGGAGAAAAGGCAGCAGAGGGAGGGGTTGTTGGAGGCAGGTACACACATGGATTTCCTCAGGATATTGAGCCACGCTCTAGGGGATAAAGCTGGCACTTTCTCCATAATACCCGAGGTGCCCCAACTCTCAGTGAGGACTTGCCAGTTCTCAAATCAGGGGGAATTAGTAAACACAAAGAGGTACAGATCCGCTTGTTCACTCACTTATAGCAAATAGAGACACTCCAAAATGCTTTTTTCCCCCCCAAAGTCGATGTCGTTGACTTCCTCCCAACAGCATCCTATAGCCATATTTTTCCATGGATGAGGTGTATCAACAACAACCGCATCCAAGCCCCCTCCCCAGCTCTCGGTGCCCGCTGCTGAGCTGTGATACGCCGCAAGCACCCTGCAGTAACCAGCGCAGAAATACACTTGAAGAGTTTCTAACCAGGATTCAACGCCAAACCCGACCACCACCTCCTCCTCACTGCTGCTTCTTTGGTGGAACACGGGATTTTGCAACCACAATGGGAACTACAGAGAGCAACCCGATGAGCAAAGCCCAGAGAGGGCGGTAGAAGAGCCACCCGATGGAGATGGTCAGGAGAGACAGCGAACTGGCTACGCAGAAGGCAAACGCTTTCAACCCGATGTTGACCAGATCTCTCACAACAGGAAACCAGTCCACTGCAGAAAGAATTAAACAAGGGATAAAGCAGTTGCCAGGATGGTACCTCAAAAGGAAGTCTTAGTGTGCAAATCCTAGGCATGAATATCGTAATCAAAGGACAGACTCTAATTATTTATCAAAAGCACTGGATGAAGCGTTTCAGTAGAGTATCCTCAAGGCATTTGATAATTAAGCAAGAGCTGAACATCTAAGACAACGGTATCCTCATCTCTTCAGACAGGAAGTAATCCAAAATTAAGTCTGAAGTCTTGTCCAAGGCATGAAAGGCAGAGTAAACTGACAGCCTTGCAGCTATGAACAAGTCTAAGGTAACTGATACAATATGTTAGCACCAAAATTAACCTCTGGCAACAATAAATCTTGCAGTAGCATGTATATGGATAAGTAAATAAGGGGGGAAAAAAAGTGCACCACTACAAAGCAAATGATAGCTTTGATATTTGAAGTTTATACAAGTTGGAGACACCACCCTGCTTTTCTCTTAGGTTTTACTTCAACATTTTGTATGCTGAAAGGATAAACAAAAAACTTCTTTTCTGTGTGCAGAATAACCAGACACAAAGTCATGTTACTATACAACTACTAATTAAGACCTGTTGGGGGGACCGCTTGTGTATGGGTGTAGAAAGTAATTGGACTGCAGCACCTTGAGTTAGACTTGAGAGAACCAGCCTAAGGTGTGTTTTGGCTTCTAATTTTGGTCAGCATTGGGCTGGGATCTTCTGAGACTGGCAAGAGATATTTGTGTATTATCTTTTTTCAATGTTCAAAAAGCAACCACCTGGTTCTGGGATCCTGTTCACCTGCAACTGCCTACAGTAACTTTCACATCAAATCCAATCTGAGTTCATACCAGATTCCTCCTGACCTCCAAATTAATTAATTGTGTACTTGAGCAAGAGAGGACATCTCTACGGATTATGATCCTATTTCTGTATCATTTTACCTTTCTGTAAAAAACTTACCCAAAGTGTAAAAGATTCGGGTCATTAGGCTGACGCCTACAAACATTGCCAGCCAGCCTGCTGCACGGAGCGCCCAGGTCTTCATGCTGTTACTCTCGTGCTCTTTCTGAAACACTTCCTGAAAGCAAACACCATTAAATGCAGCCTGTTTCTCAATTTCTTTTGAGATCCTCTTGATTCCAGTGTATTATGAGCCAATCAGAGCCAACAGCATTTTAGGAGCCCACATTCTCTTATAGAAGATACATTTGCAGCTCACCCTGCAGGGTCTTTTTGGGCAGTATTGCTGCCCACTACAATGGATTTCAAAGTGCAGCACAAGGGAAACCAGCATTTCTCTAAATTAACACAGCTCAACAAGCACCCATCAACACGCTTATAATCCCAGGCAGAAAGCACACAGGTTTTGCTGCAAAAGGATCTAGTCCACAGTCATGTGGAAAATAAGATGATAATAAATAAATGGTACAAGGAGGAACAATCTGACTTCACTATGTTTGGACTAAGAGAAAAGGCAACAATATCCACTGATGGCTGAAGAAAAGGTATAGGAAGGAGAGCAAGCAGTATGCAGGGAAATGAGAAAAGGTATGTGTACATTGCATCAGGCAAAGCAAAGCACCTCTTTGCAAGAATTCTGAGTTAGATCTTTTTTCAAAATGGGCCCCTCTGACTTTATAAAACGTACATATGAAGAAGGCTAAGGCATAATAAAACACTTAATAGAAAAATATATACGACTGATTGACCACTTGTACATACAGGTATTCTATGAATTATTAATTTGTAGTGAGTTCCTTTCCAATGCACTAAAATTCTGTCTAATGAAGATTCAGAGCTCCCAGTAGAGAGACGATTCTACTGCTACTCTCAACTCAAAACAAAAGCCTTTTAAACTGCTTTTGGGAGCTCCTGTAAATTCTTGACATCTGGGATTTTTACAGCAGGGCAAGAAACAATCATTGATGGAAACAAACCTACTAAAAGGAGTAAATGAATCACCAAATTGCTGGAGCAGGCAGGATTTATTGGAGCATAATGCTCTGCCTGAAGGTTTTTTCTCAGCCAGAACAGCAATAAATACTTCAAACAAGTCTAAACTCCTGTTATTAGAAGCTGAATAGAGGATAGCTCCTACAGCTTGTTTAATTAAAGCCTAGTTTTTACTATTTTTACATACGACCTTTTCAAAAGCACGTGCTTGCATGTCTAAGTGGGAAACTACCAAAGAGCAAATAAAAGCAAAATGAGAAGGCACAGAAACAGCCTTTAAAGCATAGGATGTTCAGGAGCAACACAAAGGGATTTTAAAATAAATAAATACATAGCTACTTTAGCCACGTTTCCTTTTTAAAATTTAAAAAAAACCCAACCCAACTATAGCCAAATTATGTACTGCCAGTGGGAGAAGCATGGCATTTTGTTGCAATACAAATAACATGCAAAAACCTGGAAGGCAAACACAGGCTATAAGGTGTTGTCCTAGAAAAAGGAGAGAGAAAAGCCAATGTTTACATTGAGCACCTCCTCCCCCTCTAGAGCAGGTGTGAAGGAGAAGGAGAGCTTATTCCCCTGCTGCTTCTGCGCTACCATCTCCAATTTTAACCCTTCACCAGTACAGCGTGGTATCTCACCTCCACAGAGAGATCCCCAAGGTACAGAATCTGCAGGACATCTCCAGATTTGGTATGATATGGAACCAGTTGGTCGCCTCGCTGGCGAGCAATCACAGTCACCTTGGAAGAAAGGGAAAAATATTTACTGGTTGCCAAGTTGGAAACAGAGTTTGAAAAATACAGAAACAGCTGAAGACTCACCGTGTCAGCAGAGCCCAAACGGGGGTCATCCCCACTCAAACCTGCATAGAAGAATGAGACACGAAGGTCTCCTACCTACAAACAAGAGAATATTGGAAGTCAATAAAGATTTATTTACCAAGGAAAATCACAGGAAAGACAACTCTGCATGGCAACACCCATTATGTATCAAACTTTTTTCTGAATGTTTATGTCAAGCCAGAGGATACCCAGAATGATTTCCAAGCTGTACTTTTTTCAGGCCTAGTTGACAGCTGACACAGGATCACTCAAATGCTGGTTTGCAATACCTCCTGTGATTTAGCTACAGAAGCACATTAACACCAGTGAGATCCTATGTTCATCCCTTGTTATTTCATCTTTTAGCAGAGGAGGGCAGGCAGCACAAGCTGACAACAAGCTATTTCATTGTACTCCGTTCAGTACAGCAAGGCAGAGATAGAACCCACTGCCCAGCACCATCCTGTGTCTTTCCATTTAAAAGCAAGACAGGCTTAAGAAAAAGAAAAAGCAGCAGGATCAAAAGCTTCCTGCAAGAGAAGCACGCATGCTGACAGATTGTATGAAGGGTGTCATCCTATGTGATGATCTGCACTCCAATTTTTACATATTTAAATAGAAATGGGACATGCCCCAACTTTATTTTTCAGATAACAGTAACCACTGCTTTGGTTTATCCTTCTTGTCTTACTTCTGGACGCCTGGGGTTCTCACTGTGGTAAAAATAATCTCCTCCTCGGGTTACATCAGCATGTGGATCCTCAAGGTTTGACAAGCTCAACTGCTTGAAGTTATCAATTTTATCCACGAGACCTAAGCAGAATTAAAGAAACAAGCTCAGGTGCAGCCTCTAACTTGGAACAGCCAATTTGCTGGCTGGCTGCCTGATTATCCCTTGAACTGACTGCCATTGCAGAAAGAACCAAAGTCCACTGTGATTTAACAGCGGACACAAAGCCAGTACAGAGCAATTCTTACCCTTGGAAAGAACAAAGCTGCCAACCTGGACATTAGGAGAAACAGCAGTGAAGGACTCCACAGCCATGGCACTGCAGAACAGAGAGAGTCCCTGATTAGTCCCAGAATTACGATCAAACTCTTGATTTGCAGTATGTAATAAACAACACATAAAAGGTACTATGTCAAACATGAGGAGAAACTCAAAGAGCTTAATGGCTGTCACAATGTGTTCATAGTGTTGGAGCCATTAAAATAAGTTAAGACAGGACAGGACTGTCCCATCCCTTGGCCTGACCTTCCATTCACACTACAGGATTTCACTAGTTTTTCCTGTACTGAACCTATAATGGGCTGAAATGGAGTTCAGCTCTTAGGAAGCTGGTCAGTGATGATATAGAGGGTTTGACTGACAATGAATTAATCACATTCCTAGATGAATTCCTGCAACACCTAACTACACTCATAAATGCACTTTATTTCTAGTCTGAATTTATATAGCTTCCGCTGTCAACTGCTAGATCTTATCTGCTAAATTAAGAAACCTAGATCATAAACCTTCTCCATATAAAGGTACTTATCATGGCCAAGTTAATTACATTCAAACTCGGGAATCCTTTACTGACAGACTTCATTCTCCTAAGTGGTACTACTAGAATCTCCTTGGCAGTAATGGCCAAGTTAATTAAATTCAAACTTGGGAATCCTTTACTGACAGACTTGACTTCATTCTCTTAAGTGGTACTACTAGAATCTCCTTGGCAGTAAGCAGGTTTTATTTTCACAAATGTCTAAGTTGCATAAAAAGATAAGATGGACAGAGAGAGGAAGAAGACACGTAGTACACTTAAAATAGCCTCATTAATGCTAGGCATGAATTCTAAAGTTCAGCATGTCTGCACGCACCATACCATCGCGTGCAAGGATCCACTAGAGCTATGCTCTGTCTCCTTGGTTTGTACCAACAGACCCAGAAGAAATGTTCTTAGCTGCAGCACTGTATAAATTATGTCCTGCAATCACACTAAACCAAAAATATTTCTCACTCCGAATTGGAGATTTGCATTTACTGCAGAATGCCTGGAGAACTTCCATTAACCAAGAAGTATGCATGGGGAGGCCAGGCAAAGCAGCCGTGCCATCTGTGCATCCTTTTTTCCATTATCTCTCATCTACACAAGTCTGCTAGTTGGGACTTAAAATAAAAAACACATAGATCTTCTAAACACATAGCTCCTCCTAAAGTAGCACTTCCAAGTGAAGGACAGTGTATTTGGATGAGCCCACAGAACAAAAACAAAGTTCTGGAGATATTACAAAGTTCAAAGTTTTGTTGAAATCCTGGTCCTACTATCTCTCCAGCTGTATTTTTCACTCACACATGATGTTTTTTGCCAGATGGCATCCTGCATCTTAAGGAACCAAGCAGGTGCTGTGAGAATGAGCAGCAAGCTAAAACTTAGCATGAAAAATGGCACTTTGTAGTGTAACTGCAATGCCACAGATGACAGATATATGGAACAAATTGTATATGGATGACTGCCACAAATAGGCCTGTGAGCTCATACATACTAGCTTAGAAAAAGCAGCATGCAAGTGGCACGACAAGCTCATGGGATGCCTGCTATTCTAACCCTTCACTTGTAATAGAGGAAAGGATTCATAACAGACTGCCCCAAGTCAGAAAGGAACCCATTCAAGTTCTGCTACATGGAGACCACATGGTTCAGAGGTTACAGAATAACAGCCTGATGTCCAGCCATCACTTAACTCTGGTTCCACTAGGCAGCTTTGAACTGGTCTCCAATCCCTCTGTGCCTCAGTTCTCCCAACTACCAAAAGACCAACAGTTCCACCTGCTTCGCTGCGTCACAAGGATTAGTCAATTTGCTTTCAACTTTGATCAGACAGGGACAGAATCCAGAGGGACTGTGCTCGGTGGTACATTACCTTGGGTTTTTGTGTCCAATTTCTCGATCAAAGTTTCTGCTGTTCACAACTTCTGATTTCCATTCAGTATCTACAGAAAATGATATGAAAGTTGAGGAGAAAACAGGAAAAATTGCCACTCAGATCTTAGTTATTGAAGACGCCTTTCAATCAATGAATCAGCTCGAAGAAACACTTAAAATGTTTACATCAAAATATATATGTGATAGTCTGTACTGATATTTAAATCCATCTTCCCAGCATATTAACAAGGAATGGCATGATTTAGAAAAAAAACTATTTTAGCCATAAAATTGTAACTCAACTTCACTCATTGGTTGGGTTTAGTTCCTGGCTCCACTCTTCAGGAATAATCTGGCTTTTTAAGGAAAGGCTGTAAGCTCTGCTGGAACTAGCAAATATCAGTGCAATCAAGCAACAGATAGAGATGGTACCTGTATGTGCCACTGTCAAAAATGCATAATGCTGCCTTTGTTCAGGCCACAGCAGCCTCCCACATCCCCAGGACAGATTCCAGTAGGTTTGTTATAACTCCTACAAAATTAGAGTCCCTCTTTTGAGCATCTTCAATATTAAACATAGCTTGCTCTACTTCCATGAAGGAGTAGAGAGGAAAGAAAAGGAGTTTGGTTAAACAGTGGAGTAGGAATCATTGTAAGGGATATTCTGGTGTATTGATTTTGCAAGATTTTGCTGGGAAGGGAGGGGGGCAGCAGGGGTGGCCTCTGTGGGAAGAGGTCAGGGGCTTGCCCTGTGTTGGACACAGCTGGCTCCACACTGAACCCACTGCAGCCACAGCTGAGCCCATCAGTGAAGTTCAGGGCACTTCTGTGAAAATATTTTTAAGAAATGGCAGAAAACACCAAATGGGGAAGGGAAGGAACAAAAAGGAGTGAGAAACAACAGAGGGAACACCAAAGTCAGAAGATGAGTGCTCCACAGAAGAGCAGATGTTCACTGCAGCACGGGGAGAGTCCATAATGGAGCATGGGAGAAGTGCAAGAAGTGGCAGAGAGAAACCACTACGTACTGACTGTGAGCCTACCCCCACCCCCTGCACTGCTTGCTGCTTCACTAAAGGGAGTGAATGTAACCTGTCAGGATAACAAGTGAGGGCAAGGGGAGAGGAGTCTGGAGTGAAGTTCAGCCTAGGAAAGGGCAAGAGCAAATGTGTTTATCCAACACCCTAATCTGTAGTTATTATTTTAATTGACAATAAATTAAGTCAATTTTCCCCAAGTCAAGCCTGTTTTGCTCATGATGGTAAAATTGGTAAGTGATCTCCCTGTCTTTATTTCAACCCACAAGCTCTCTCATTCCTGTTCTTCCCAATCTCTTTCCCTGATCCATTGAGGGGGAGAGCGAGGAAGTGGCTGTGTGGGCCCTTGGCTGCCAGCCACAGCTAACCCACCACAGCTAGTAACATAAAGACTTTTACTGGACAGAATCCATCAATCCTGAGAGGGTGGATGTTTTTTCAAAAGGCACTTCTTTTTGTTCCCTGCCACTGTAAGACTGTTTTTCACAGCTCACAACCACTAGCATCTCCACGCTGCAAGATCCCATGCTTCACTGAGCTGGGGTATTTTTATGATCACACCCAGAAATTGCTACACACCCACGTTATACATCCATGTGCTTTAATCAGCGATAAATGAAGCACAAAGATCAATCCCCAGATATGTGATGACTCAGAATATTTTTCTGCCACTGGGTAGGTCAGAATAATGCTCTCAGATCTGCTCCTGCCAAAAAAGCAGTTGGCAAAAGCCACATCAGAAGGTGCTGATGATTTTCATTTGCTGGTATCAACACCTAAACAGACTCTCAACAGGCTGTCTTACAGGCTGGAGCTACACTGTTCTTCCCTGTCTATTCTCTTCTGCTCATGCCTGACACATGCCCAATTACTCCACTTCTGAAGCGTAATCTCAGGCACAGCTTTAAGTACACTCCCATCTCTGCTCACCTCCTGTCACTGAGGACCTCAGGGGTCCTATCTCCAGAGTATCCTATCCCTGGATGCTGCTCTGAACCTCTAGTAGTTCCAAGACAGGACTTTCTGTATTAGTTGCTTGCTAACAGCACACCTCCTTTCACCTCAGAAAGGGAGGTCCTGCCATTTGTTTAGGAAACAGAATTTTTGCTTCTTTCTTCACATTCCTTTCTTTCCCAACAAGAAAATGCAGGGTTTACAACAGAAGTCAAAATATACACACATAAAAGTCTAAAGTTATCTGTGTAAAAGAAAATCTACTTTCTGTTGATCAACTTACTGTATGAATACTTTGTCTCTTTCTTAATCTCACCATTCTCTTCATATTCCCTGCAGAGAAAAGGGGTGGGATGAGAATCAAAACAGTGCACACACACCCCTGCTAAGGGCAGAATACACTTTACAAATGAAATGCACAGACAGCTCATTGGCAACAATAACTTATCTTTACAAGTAAACTAACTCTTCTCTGAACTACCTATTCTGAAAACATAGATTCTCTGTAAAAGGAGAAAACTACACACAAATGCTAAACACCCCTTTCATTCCAATGTTGCCAGCAAAGAGGTGTTGACTGGATCAACGTGGAACAACCAACGTTAAAGAGAGTGAGACAAGTTGATCTAAATCAATAAGTCTTTTACAGATGCTGTGCCATTAAAACTGAGAAGCTATTTTTCACACCTTCCCAACCTCCTGACACCTTTTTTGTATGACACAAAAGACATCTGCAACATGAGTTCTCTGGAGTCAGACTTACGTAATAGCTAGTAACTTTTAAACTGTTGTCAGGGGAATTATTATTAATAACAAAAATATTTTTCCCCTTCTGCTCGCAACTATTAGCAGAGTGGCTAACATCTCATTACAGTTTTGTAAATTCCCCTGATAAGGTACCTAGACTGCAACATTGCCTGTTATAAAACAATCTGAGTGTCTTTCAAGCACAGTACAGACTTGCTGCGTTTTTTTTCTTCAGGGGTGGGGAGAGTTAAAAATAAATAAACGATGGGATCCTCTTAAGACAACAACTTGTACCAGCTTTGGCTGGGGTAGATTTAATTTTCTTTGTAGTAGCTAGTATGGAGATATGTTTTGGATTTGTGATGAAAACAGCATTGACAATATAGGAATGTTTTAGTTATTTCTGAGCAGTACTTGCACAGAGACAAGACCTTTTCTGATTCTTATACCACCCAGACAGTGAGTAGGCTGGGGGTGCAACAAACAACTTTTAAACATTTCTTTCACTTACGTGGATTCTTCATATTCTACCCATTGGTACATTTCCACATTGCGCTTAAGTTTGACAGCCTGGATCGAGAGCCCATAGCTGGGATCAAACAAAGGCTATTTACAAATTAAAGAAAATACAAGTTAATATAAATGCTATACCTCACAGACTCAAACTCTATTCTTTCATTATCAAATCCATTTACATACCTCACTGTACATAGTTAGTACTATGTTACACACAGTTCAATATAGAATAAATGCTATGTAAGACAAAAGGGAGCATCTCTTTATATCACTGATAAATCTGACTTAAGAAATCATCATAAAAAATTAATGCCATCGTGAAGAATAAAACCTGAAATGCTGGTTAATAATATGCAGGCTTGAGTGTTTAAATCAGAGGGAGATTTTATTTAGCTGGAAAGTACTGTGCTGTGTTATCTTCTGCAACTCACGCTGACCATGGAAAATGTCACCACTACTGAAAAGTCAGAACTTGCAGAGCCACTGTACTACAAGAGCCTAAAGACTTTAAAACATCATGAATACACAACAGGTTCCTTATACAAAAGGTAATTGAAATTATCCACCACAGGCAGTGGGAGGGTAAACCCAGACAGAAGTAGCATGGTGTTTGGGAGCAGGGAGACCAAGGCTGTACAGCATCTCCCTGATTCCAGGCCAAGAACTAACACCTGGGTGGCAGCCTGCAATGCTTACAGAGGAGAGAAGGTAGAAGTCTTCTCCCTGTATATCAAATGTAGTTTTAATTGCCAAAGACTTCTCCTTTTCTCTAAGCTTTAAAATAGTATCTTAAAGATATGAGCATTTCTTTACCTTAGATGTACTGAGGGCACCAGCTAAGTGCACCAGTCGGCCTTCATTCTGCTGAGACACACTGTGGATGCTGTCAAGAGGGATCACAAGAGAAAGTCCCTCATCAAGAGATTTGGCAGTTCTTAAAGCTCGTCCCTGCAATCAAAAAAAGCAAAATCGTATTGTGGAGAATCAATGGCACAGCAGTATTTCTCCATTATCTCTCATCTACACAATTCTCCTAGTTGGGACTTATAATAAAAAACACATAGATCTTCTAAACACATAGCTCCTCCTAAAGTAGCACTTCCAAGTGAAGGACAGTGTATTTGGATGAGCCCACAGAACAAAAACAAAGTTCTGGAGATATTACAAAGTTCAAAGTTTTGTTGAAATCCTGGTCCTACTATCTCTCCAGCTGTATTTTTCACTCACACATGATGTTTTTTGCCAGATGACATCCTGCATCTTAAGGAACCAAGCAGGTGCTGTGAGAATGAGCAGCAAGCTAAAACTTAGCATGAAAAATGGCACTTTGTAGTGTAACTGCAATGGCACAGATGACAGATATATGAAACAAATTCTATATGGATGACTGACACAAATAGGCCTGTGAGCTCATACATACCAGCTTAGAAAAAGCAGCATGCAAGTGGCACGACAAGCTCATGGGATGCCTGCTATTCTAACCCTTCACTTGTAATAGAGGAAAGGATTCATAACAGACTGCCCCAAGTCAGAAAGGAACCCATTCAAGTTCTGCTACATGGAGACCACATGGTTCAGAGGTTACAGAATAACAGCCTGATGTCCAGCCATCACTTAACTCTGGTTCCACTAGGCAGCTTTGAACTGGTCTCCAATCCCTCTGTGCCTCAGTTCTCCCAACTACCAAAAGACCAACAGTTCCACCTGCTTCGCTGCGTCACAAGGATTAGTCAATTTGCTTTCAACTTTGATCAGACAGGGACAGAATCCAGAGGGACTGTGCTCGGTGGTACATTACCTTGGGTTTTTGTGTCCAATTTCTCGATCAAAGTTTCTGCTGTTCACAACTTCTGATTTCCATTCAGTATCTACAGAAAATGATATGAAAGTTGAGGAGAAAACAGGAAAAATTGCCACTCAGATCTTAGTTATTGAAGACGCCTTTCAATCAATGAATCAGCTCGAAGAAACACTTAAAATGTTTACATCAAAATATATATGTGATAGTCTGTACTGATATTTAAATCCATCTTCCCAGCATATTAACAAGGAATGGCATGATTTAGAAAAAAAACTATTTTAGCCATAAAATTGTAACTCAACTTCACTCATTGGTTGGGTTTAGTTCCTGGCTCCACTCTTCAGGAATAATCTGGCTTTTTAAGGAAAGGCTGTAAGCTCTGCTGGAACTAGCAAATATCAGTGCAATCAAGCAACAGATAGAGATGGTACCTGTATGTGCCACTGTCAAAAATGCATAATGCTGCCTTTGTTCAGGCCACAGCAGCCTCCCACATCCCCAGGACAGATTCCAGTAGGTTTGTTATAACTCCTACAAAATTAGAGTCCCTCTTTTGAGCATCTTCAATATTAAACATAGCTTGCTCTACTTCCATGAAGGAGTAGAGAGGAAAGAAAAGGAGTTTGGTTAAACAGTGGAGTAGGAATCATTGTAAGGGATATTCTGGTGTATTGATTTTGCAAGATTTTGCTGGGAAGGGAGGGGGGCAGCAGGGGTGGCCTCTGTGGGAAGAGGTCAGGGGCTTGCCCTGTGTTGGACACAGCTGGCTCCACACTGAACCCACTGCAGCCACAGCTGAGCCCATCAGTGAAGTTCAGGGCACTTCTGTGAAAATATTTTTAAGAAATGGCAGAAAACACCAAATGGGGAAGGGAAGGAACAAAAAGGAGTGAGAAACAACAGAGGGAACACCAAAGTCAGAAGATGAGTGCTCCACAGAAGAGCAGATGTTCACTGCAGCACGGGGAGAGTCCATAATGGAGCATGGGAGAAGTGCAAGAAGTGGCAGAGAGAAACCACTACGTACTGACTGTGAGCCTACCCCCACCCCCTGCACTGCTTGCTGCTTCACTAAAGGGAGTGAATGTAACCTGTCAGGATAACAAGTGAGGGCAAGGGGAGAGGAGTCTGGAGTGAAGTTCAGCCTAGGAAAGGGCAAGAGCAAATGTGTTTATCCAACACCCTAATCTGTAGTTATTATTTTAATTGACAATAAATTAAGTCAATTTTCCCCAAGTCAAGCCTGTTTTGCTCATGATGGTAAAATTGGTAAGTGATCTCCCTGTCTTTATTTCAACCCACAAGCTCTCTCATTCCTGTTCTTCCCAATCTCTTTCCCTGATCCATTGAGGGGGAGAGCGAGGAAGTGGCTGTGTGGGCCCTTGGCTGCCAGCCACAGCTAACCCACCACAGCTAGTAACATAAAGACTTTTACTGGACAGAATCCATCAATCCTGAGAGGGTGGATGTTTTTTCAAAAGGCACTTCTTTTTGTTCCCTGCCACTGTAAGACTGTTTTTCACAGCTCACAACCACTAGCATCTCCACGCTGCAAGATCCCATGCTTCACTGAGCTGGGGTATTTTTATGATCACACCCAGAAATTGCTACACACCCACGTTATACATCCATGTGCTTTAATCAGCGATAAATGAAGCACAAAGATCAATCCCCAGATATGTGATGACTCAGAATATTTTTCTGCCACTGGGTAGGTCAGAATAATGCTCTCAGATCTGCTCCTGCCAAAAAAGCAGTTGGCAAAAGCCACATCAGAAGGTGCTGATGATTTTCATTTGCTGGTATCAACACCTAAACAGACTCTCAACAGGCTGTCTTACAGGCTGGAGCTACACTGTTCTTCCCTGTCTATTCTCTTCTGCTCATGCCTGACACATGCCCAATTACTCCACTTCTGAAGCGTAATCTCAGGCACAGCTTTAAGTACACTCCCATCTCTGCTCACCTCCTGTCACTGAGGACCTCAGGGGTCCTATCTCCAGAGTATCCTATCCCTGGATGCTGCTCTGAACCTCTAGTAGTTCCAAGACAGGACTTTCTGTATTAGTTGCTTGCTAACAGCACACCTCCTTTCACCTCAGAAAGGGAGGTCCTGCCATTTGTTTAGGAAACAGAATTTTTGCTTCTTTCTTCACATTCCTTTCTTTCCCAACAAGAAAATGCAGGGTTTACAACAGAAGTCAAAATATACACACATAAAAGTCTAAAGTTATCTGTGTAAAAGAAAATCTACTTTCTGTTGATCAACTTACTGTATGAATACTTTGTCTCTTTCTTAATCTCACCATTCTCTTCATATTCCCTGCAGAGAAAAGGGGTGGGATGAGAATCAAAACAGTGCACACACACCCCTGCTAAGGGCAGAATACACTTTACAAATGAAATGCACAGACAGCTCATTGGCAACAATAACTTATCTTTACAAGTAAACTAACTCTTCTCTGAACTACCTATTCTGAAAACATAGATTCTCTGTAAAAGGAGAAAACTACACACAAATGCTAAACACCCCTTTCATTCCAATGTTGCCAGCAAAGAGGTGTTGACTGGATCAACGTGGAACAACCAACGTTAAAGAGAGTGAGACAAGTTGATCTAAATCAATAAGTCTTTTACAGATGCTGTGCCATTAAAACTGAGAAGCTATTTTTCACACCTTCCCAACCTCCTGACACCTTTTTTGTATGACACAAAAGACATCTGCAACGTGAGTTCTCTGGAGTCAGACTTACGTAATAGCTAGTAACTTTTAAACTGTTGTCAGGGGAATTATTATTAATAACAAAAATATTTTTCCCCTTCTGCTCGCAACTATTAGCAGAGTGGCTAACATCTCATTACAGTTTTGTAAATTCCCCTGATAAGGTACCTAGACTGCAACATTGCCTGTTATAAAACAATCTGAGTGTCTTTCAAGCACAGTACAGACTTGCTGCGTTTTTTTTCTTCAGGGGTGGGGAGAGTTAAAAATAAATAAACGATGGGATCCTCTTAAGACAACAACTTGTACCAGCTTTGGCTGGGGTAGATTTAATTTTCTTTGTAGTAGCTAGTATGGAGATATGTTTTGGATTTGTGATGAAAACAGCATTGACAATATAGGAATGTTTTAGTTATTTCTGAGCAGTACTTGCACAGAGACAAGACCTTTTCTGATTCTTATACCACCCAGACAGTGAGTAGGCTGGGGGTGCAACAAACAACTTTTAAACATTTCTTTCACTTACGTGGATTCTTCATATTCTACCCATTGGTACATTTCCACATTGCGCTTAAGTTTGACAGCCTGGATCGAGAGCCCATAGCTGGGATCAAACAAAGGCTATTTACAAATTAAAGAAAATACAAGTTAATATAAATGCTATACCTCACAGACTCAAACTCTATTCTTTCATTATCAAATCCATTTACATACCTCACTGTACATAGTTAGTACTATGTTACACACAGTTCAATATAGAATAAATGCTATGTAAGACAAAAGGGAGCATCTCTTTATATCACTGATAAATCTGACTTAAGAAATCATCATAAAAAATTAATGCCATCGTGAAGAATAAAACCTGAAATGCTGGTTAATAATATGCAGGCTTGAGTGTTTAAATCAGAGGGAGATTTTATTTAGCTGGAAAGTACTGTGCTGTGTTATCTTCTGCAACTCACGCTGACCATGGAAAATGTCACCACTACTGAAAAGTCAGAACTTGCAGAGCCACTGTACTACAAGAGCCTAAAGACTTTAAAACATCATGAATACACAACAGGTTCCTTATACAAAAGGTAATTGAAATTATCCACCACAGGCAGTGGGAGGGTAAACCCAGACAGAAGTAGCATGGTGTTTGGGAGCAGGGAGACCAAGGCTGTACAGCATCTCCCTGATTCCAGGCCAAGAACTAACACCTGGGTGGCAGCCTGCAATGCTTACAGAGGAGAGAAGGTAGAAGTCTTCTCCCTGTATATCAAATGTAGTTTTAATTGCCAAAGACTTCTCCTTTTCTCTAAGCTTTAAAATAGTATCTTAAAGATATGAGCATTTCTTTACCTTAGATGTACTGAGGGCACCAGCTAAGTGCACCAGTCGGCCTTCATTCTGCTGAGACACACTGTGGATGCTGTCAAGAGGGATCACAAGAGAAAGTCCCTCATCAAGAGATTTGGCAGTTCTTAAAGCTCGTCCCTGCAATCAAAAAAAGCAAAATCGTATTGTGGAGAATCAATGGCACAGCAGTATTTTGTGAAAAATGTTAGGAGACAAGCGATCTGAAGAACACAAGGAATGCTTTTATATTCAGCCTCAAGGAATATTCTTGAAATACATTTGTACTTCTCTGTCTCTCTGTGGCTGAAACAGTTTGGGGTAGTACTTCTTACCCATGCAACAGGACCATTAACATTGACTAAGCTCCTCAAACACAGAGAGATTATTTCTACAAGGGTCCAAATATATTGTTCTTCTCCTCTAACTTGTTTATAATTCTCAAGTAACTGCAAAAGTTATGCCAGTTATGGTCCTTTTTCCACAGACCCAGTTGGCTACTTGGCAGAAGTTTTTCTTACCTTATCATAATTTCATGATGTGCTTTTTCCTGCAAAGTCACCAAAATTGGGAGTAGTTTTTTTCCTCTTACAGAGGTATAAAAGGAAGCCTTAGGTGAAAATTCACAGAATTCTGCTTCCCCACTCCAAACTGCCAAAAGCATGTATATTTGCAATAGTAGGGTGTTAGGATTCCCTGCTTGCTTTAATTATTTTTTTTAAATCTAAAACCAAAACATAAAATAAAACTGAGAATAAATAACACTCTCAGTTTTGCAACATAGAATACAAATTCCTTTAATGCAATTATAACAACACCAGAAATTAGGACCTTCTGTTACCCCAAGAAAAGAGAGAAGACCAGATTGTGGTTGGCTCATACAACCCTTTTTCAATAATACTACAGCCTGTTTCTGTATCAGCTTACAAGTTTTGGATCTTATCGCTCATTACACATTGCCATTGTCTCTACTACGTTCAGTTCCACAGAAATACTATCTGTGGCCCTGTGATTTCACTCCTCTGTTATATTCCAAGCATAAGCATAGAGTCTCCAGACATAATGCTGTCTTCTCATGGAGGAAGTAATAAAGCATTAACACGACCATTTTATTGAGCATATAAATGCAAAACTAGTCAAATGCAACCTCATCTGTGATATTTCAAAGCTGTGTACAAACACTGGCAGTATTTCACTTACTTCATTGGTAAAAAGAAGGTAGAAAGACAGAAGAAACGTCACAAGTCCCATCAGCATGCCTCCAGAAGTCTCGCTGAGCCTCTCCAGGAACCCTGGTTTGGACTTACTTGTGATTTTAACATGTTCTTTTCTGCTGTCTGTGTCAGAGAACTGTTGGACATAAACCAAAAATACAATATTGGTGTGAAAGGGGAAAGCATTCTGCTTCAAAGTAAGTCTTTTAGCTTTGTTAATACCGCTCCTCTACAGAGCAGCATCTCTTGCCTTGGACCAAAACTTTCCCATACTTATTAAATGCCTCATCACTCTTTCGATGCCTGAAATACAATCAATAAATAAAACTCCAGCCTGATGGAAAAAACAATTTCTATTATAGTGGTTCAACATGTTCCTTCAAGCTTTCTTCAGCCTGTCTCTAAGTTCCCTGTTTGGTGTCCACACCCTGCATTCGGGCCATGACAAATTGAGTAATACTCCTGAATTCCAGCCCAGCTAAAACATAGCTATAAATAACAAGTTACGTTTTACCTCACCAGCGGAGAAGTGCCTGCATACTTTAAAATAATTGCATCTCAGGCAAGAAAAAGCGCTAGCGTGAAACAAAACAGCTATTGCTGTCCTAGCCCATGCCACGTTAAAGTATGAAAACCCAGGGGTCTATATATACCGGCAACCTCCGTATACAGTCTGGCTGTAGGGAATAACCAAGAAGCAACTTCAGATCAGCACAGGTAGGCAAGAAAGGAGACGAGGCTTCCCTTTTGCGCCTCTCGAGCCGCCAGGCGGGATGTGGCAGCGGCCCCTCCGCTGCACGGGGCCTCTCGCCTCAGGCGGGCCACTGGGGGGAACGGCAACGGGCCCACCCAAGGGACCACCACATGCAGCGCGGAGCAACAACAGGACCAGCCCGAGGAGCACTTACATTCCTCGACATCTTGAGCCTCTCGCCCTCGGCTGAGCACCACCCTGGAGAGACCGCGGGAACCGCACACCAAGAACCGCCGGAACCGCGCCCGCCGCCTCAGGGCTCACTCGGCCTTCTAGCCACCGCGCCTCACCGCACTGCATGCCGGGACACGTAGTTCCTGCCGGGCGCGTTGCAGGCTGGGAGATGTAGTCCGGCGCCGAGGCCAGGCCTGAAAGGGCCCGCTTGCTCCCTCCCCTGTGCCGCCTCCGGCAGGAGGTGCGTCAGCCGCTGCCGGCGGGCAGGGAAGGCGCTTCCGGAGGTGGGAGGTCATAGCGTGGAGCAGCGCGCCGCTGTTCCGCTGCTGCGGAGGGGGCAGAGGACGAGCGGAGGGCGCGGCGGTGGGGTCGGTCTGTGAGAGCGCTTGCGGGGGAAGGCACCGGACGGCTCCGCCATGTCCTACTGCAGGCAAGAAGGTGCGTCCCGGTGTCCTCCCAATGTCACGCCGGGCGGACTCGCCGTGAGGCGGCTAGGGGGCAGGGGGTGAGGCGGGGCTGCTGCCCCCCTCATCTCAGCCCGTGAAGGGAAGGCGAAACCTGAGGGGAAAAGAGGCGGGAAAGCCGCCCGCGTGTGGCGGTGGGGGGAGAGGGCCGCCTCCCCTCCCTCCGCCGACCTTTCTCCTCACGGTAGGCGGGAAGCCGCGGCGGGGTGGTTGGCCTGAGGCGGGGGAGAGGCGCGGAGGGCCTCCGCCACCTGCGGGACCGGCCCGCGCCGGGGCCGTGGGGAGGGGGGAGAGTGCCGGCCCGCAGCCCGGGGCTGGGGCGGCCCCGAGGCACGGCCGGAACTGGGCGTGTGTGCGCCTCGGGGCTCGCAGTGTAGCCGCCGGGCTTGGCTGTGGGGTGGCTGAGGCGTGTCGGCCGGTTCTCTGCAGCCCAGCGGAATGGCATCCTCCCGTTGGGGTTAAATTTCTACTGGTTTAGCTGAAGCGGCTAGAGGTGGTGTGGTTTTTTGTTTTGGTTTCCTCCCCCGTTTAAGGAAAGGACCGTAGGTGGACAGGGCGGGTAGTACGAGCTTTGTTTTTTTATCTATCTGTGCAAGGTGTTATATTGTGCGGGTTGTGGTATTTATGAGGCTTGACCACTTCATATCCGGGGGGATATATTACCCCTGCCCTGGGAGGAATGTGAAGTGAGGAATTGTAAAGCATCAAACTAGAAAAAAGCCACTCTGTTGTTCTAAATGCCGTTTTGAAGTTATAAATTTTGGCACACTGAATGCTGATTATAAACTGTATTGAGGTAGTCATGTTGTTAATTTATTTAACATCATCTTGCATCTTTGCAAGGTCTGTAAGTTGTCTTATGGCATCCCACAAAATTACAGTGATGGGAATTAGAGTTCATGAGTTCCTAGTTCCTTTTATATAAGAAAGAACTGGGCATTCTACATTGTAAAATTTGCTGGAGTACAATGCCGAGTTGATAGAAAACTGTCCATTTTTAAAAGGTTTTAGATTTATCTGTTTCTCAGATGTGTTTAACTGCATATTGGTTACTGAGCAAAGTAAAAGGGAGATACTGAACACCTGCTTGTTGAGGTCACACTGAGGGGCAAGAAGATACTAATTTCTAATAATACTAAGTCACTGTAGTGACCTTCATGAATTTAGAGAATGAAAGGAAGTTCTTGGGGAGCTTACCTTCCCCCCCCCCCCCCCCCTTTCCTCCCCCGTTTAAGGAAAGGACCGTAGGTGGACAGGGCGGGTAGTACGAGCTTTGTTTTTTTATCTATCTGTGCAAGGTGTTATATTGTGCGGGTTGTGGTATTTATGAGGCTTGACCACTTCATATCCGGGGGGATATATTACCCCTGCCCTGGGAGGAATGTGAAGTGAGGAATTGTAAAGCATCAAACTAGAAAAAAGCCACTCTGTTGTTCTAAATGCCGTTTTGAAGTTATAAATTTTGGCACACTGAATGCTGATTATAAACTGTATTGAGGTAGTCATGTTGTTAATTTATTTAACATCATCTTGCGTCTTTGCAAGGTCTGTAAGTTGTCTTATGGCATCCCACAAAATTACAGTGATGGGAATTAGAGTTCATGAGTTCCTAGTTCCTTTTATATAAGAAAGAACTGGGCATTCTACATTGTAAAATTTGCTGGAGTACAATGCCGAGTTGATAGAAAACTGTCCATTTTTAAAAGGTTTTAGATTTATCTGTTTCTCAGATGTGTTTAACTGCATATTGGTTACTGAGCAAAGTAAAAGGGAGATACTGAACACCTGCTTGTTGAGGTCACACTGAGGGGCAAGAAGATACTAATTTCTAATAATACTAAGTCACTGTAGTGACCTTCATGAATTTAGAGAATGAAAGGAAGTTCTTGGGGAGCTTACCTTCCCCCCCCCCCAATACGGAGTTGGGCCTTCAGAAGAGTTTCAGCCAGCTGTTCTTCTCTGCTTGTGTCTGCCTCAGCTTGTTTTTTGTAGTTTTAGAGATGTTAGAAAACTGTATTCAGGTTTCCGGCCAAGCCTTCCCACCCCGCTGCAGAACCTCTTTGTTAAATCAAGAGTGGCACAAGAGCAGGAAGCACACTGTGGTGGTTTTCTATCCTTAGTAATGTTCACAGCACCTTTCAATGCAGTTGGTTCTATGCTGTTAAGGTGCTCTTCAGTATTTAATTCCGATAATTATTGTAAAATATTACGCTAGTCTTTAATGGAGAGTACTGTTATTAGTAAGTATCCCATTGAACACTTCCCTGTAATTTAGTATAGTTTTTCTTTCACTTCTCCTTTATTTTTTTCCCCTGATCCCTTCATCTGGGTTATTCTGGCAACGGTGTAGTTCAAGCTTGTTTTGAAACAGCTTTTTAACTTCACAGTTCAATGAACTGTACTGTGATCTGCAGCCATTACAGTATGCTGCTGTGAATATTGGAATTTGAGAAGAATAAGTTTCAGTTGTGTATGTGTTTCTCTGAACGCACAACTGTTCTAATTGAAGGTGGCTGATAGGTACAACAGAATTAATTCACTATTAACATTAACGCACTGTGTTGAATATCTCATTACCTTGGGGTGTTCACCAGCTTTGTAAGTCATTCCTTCTGTCTCAGTTTTCTCTGAACTTTTGCTTGTTGTCTCCTCTATGGTAGGAAAAGACAGAATTATATTTGCAACCAAGGAGGACCATGAGACACCAAGCAGCGCTGAGCTGGTTGCGGATGACCCAGACGACCCTTATGAAGAACAAGGTCAGTAGTAAGCAGAATAATGGAAGTACATCACATTCTAACAATCTTAAAAAACCAAGGAGAACAAAAAACAAACTTTGTATGAAATAGGATCAAATTGTTCATTTTTAAAGATGGTGGGCAGGTGGTTATTCAGTAGATAAACATTCAAACTCTTAGCAGTTTTGACTTCCAAATTAGGACATCACAAATGACATGTTTTCCTTACAGTGGTTTGTTGTTGTTTTTTTTTCCTACAAAGTGACCTGTTCGAATACACCAATTGATGGCTTATAGTTTTGGTTAGTAGCCAGAGATATCCAGGAAAAAAAAGCCACCTCTTCCTTCTTTTATTTTATTAACAGTTAGAGCTTAACTGGTGAAAATTCTGGTTGTTTTTTCACTGTTGTAAATGACAAAGTGCAAAGTTCAGAGAAACTGAAGTGAGTTACATACCACCGTCACTGATACGAGTTGCTTCCCTGCCTGTGTGCAGCTGAAATTGTCTAACTTGGTGATCTCTGAATATCCAATTTAATATAAGTTATATCTAACTAACCCTGTACTATACTAGTAGCAGTATAATCAGTAACTAGTATTAATATTTTTCAATGGCCCATGACAGGTAAGTTCAAATTACTCAGTTTTCAGCTGTAACCGTCTTGCCTTGAAAAGATGTAAGTTGAAGTTTTCAGTTCTTATGTGAAGTAGATCTAACCTGCAAATGGAAATTTAAGAGAGAAGAATATTTCTGAGATCAAGGCTTATAATAATCTGATTGCACAGAGCATATTTTAGGTTATTTCTAATTGGTAAATGAAATAAACTTCCTACCATGATTAAGAATTTTGCTCCGAGTTAATAATTCCTGCAAGTGTCTCTGTGCCCTGTAGAGGGCAGTATTTAGGCACGGTTTAGCAGCTGGTGCAGACAGGGTGGCTTTGTTAGCTGTTGTGGTGTGTAGTTTAATTTGAACCATATCTTCCAGTGTCATTAAAATAACTTTTTTTCATACATGGATTTGTGTTGAAATGATTTTTCATTTAGCTGCCTATCTTGGCTTCATCACAACTCTATGTAGTCAGTAGATGTTTCTGAATGTTTTGCTCGTCAGCAGTGATGAGTCTGTTCAGTTCTATAATGACCCAAATGAGAACAATGAAATAAACACCTTTCTGAAAATGAAATTAATGACTGCAGTTTAGTATCTATCAGGAGTTCTACCTCATATTTTCAGGTAGGTTGTTTTGCTAGCTGAGACCCGATACCTAAACTGCCTATTTGGTGGGAACAGTCTATGCTTTGGGATTTGTCATCATTTTCACCATGGGGATGGTGCATCAGCCCCTAAAGATTTCAGATAGAGATGCCTACAGGCAATGAAATCTGTGGCGCTCATAGGTGTTACTGCTTTGACCAGGATGGAAGATGGAACCTACAAGTGATTCATGTAAATCAAAGTTCATCATTAGGTGGAAAATAGTGTCTGAGGAGAGGTCATTTTTAAGATAATTTGCTCCCATGAGTATGCTATGTGGGAGTGAAACAAAAATCAGAGTTGTTAATTCCTGTCTCAGGCAAATTTAAAATTCATTATTGGTCTTTTAAGTGATGAGTTAACAGCCTCTAATGATCAGATGATTGAATTAAGTTCCCCATTCCTTTTCTGTGGCCTGTGGCTTTCTGCTTCTCCGAAAAACTGGAGACTGCTTGCAAAATAAAGCAGTGAGATGCTTCTTCTAGATCTCACATCTGGAGAACATGAAAACCCTTGGAGATTTTATCCTTCACTGAACTATTAAGTGAACAACCAGTGGGTTGTTTATTCTAGAAATCCTGTATTTACAGCATGTTAGATCATTTGCTTCCAAAACTATAGAGCAGGGAAGAGGAGAGAAAGCTGGAAGCTAGT